TACGCGTTGTAGTGCCTTGATCCGTGGGTAGATAGAGGAGATGGAGATGATAGAGTAACTTCTAGAGCTAGTGCGCACTTCGCGATAAGTCAGATGAGAGTATCGGGTTATGATGTAGGGGATGACAGGAGGGAGGTAGATGTGATATGTTAGTAAGTATTGTGTAGAGGTACATAAGAGTAAAGTGATATGTATATAATTATAAGAGGGAGGGAGGTATATGGTATAGAGGTAGATGGTAGTAGGATGAATATAGGGAGGATATGAGATAGGCGGTATAGAGAGGGGGAAGAGAGATGACGAGATGAAGAGAGAGAGAGAGAGAGATGACGATGAGAATAGTGAGTAGAGATAGAGTAAGATGGGAGAAGAGAAGTAGATATATATTGAGGGTATATATATATAATGATATGTCATACATATGATATTGTATTATATTATATATATATATATATATTGATATATAGGGAGGTGATATAAGTAGACGACAATAGATGAGATATAACTAATAAATAAATAAATAATAACAAATTCAGAAAAAAACAACACGGAGAATCATGAATACGACTAGATCGGATAATCGGTTAGTAGGACTCATAAGATATGGATATATATAAAGCTGGAAGTATGAGATACGACCACCATCTAACTCCCATACGGATATTTAATGAATTTTAAAAGGCGACAACCCAACAAATGTACTAAATTGATAGCAAGTAAAACAAAACAGAAATAAATGAACATTAGGAAATACAAGGCGTCGAGGCGGGAGTGTCCGACGGAGAGAAGTAAGAGGAGGGGTAAAATTATGGGAGAAAGAGGAGGAGGAGGAAGGAGGAGGAGAGGAAGACGAAGAAGAAGACGATGATGATGATGATGATGAATGATGAATGATGATGATGATGAGAATGATGATGATGAAGAAGGAGGAGGAAGAGGAGGAGAGAGAAGAGCAGGAGGAAGAGGAGGAGGAAAAAAGAGGAGAAATAGAAGAGAGGAGAAGAAGACAAGGAAGAAAAGGAGGAGGACAGGAGGAAGAAGAATAGACACTAACAGAATAAGAAGTAGGAGGGGAGAACAGTACGACAGGGATAGACATGTAGCGACAGGATGTAGAAAAGTAATAAGATATAAGATACAAGGAGTGTCACGAGTAGGAGAATAAGAATAGATAAGAAGAATAGAACAATATTCGCGAGACACACTTAGAAGAAGCGGAATGAGACTAATAAACAAATAAAGAAGGCAGAGGTGAGGAGAAGCGTATATATAGGATAGTATGTAAGATGGAAGATAGGACGGTGCAGAGAATTCAAAGAAGGAGAAAACAGAAGAGAATAGCGAGAAACGAAGACAATGCGAAAAGTATAAGATAAAGGGACAGGGACGTTGTGTAGATATTGGAGTGAACGAATAGAGGCGATGGGAAAGAAGACGGGAGAGTAAAGTCTTCAGAAGGAGAGAGAGGCACGGTCAGGTATGTGAGAGTGAGTCACGGGAGAAGGGTTGTGAAATAGAGCGTAAAGAAGAGAGAGGAGGGAGAGTAGCACGACGCGATGAGGCATAGAAATATTTAAATAATAGGAAGGATGGGATAGGTATGGACGTAGGAATAATTTTGAAGAGAGATAAGGCAGTGTGATCATTAGTTAGAATAATAGATCTAGAATTTCCGGAGAAAAGAGGAACAATGATAGAATAGATGGAAAGACGACTTTAGTGAGGAGGAGGAATATAAGGTGAAGGTGAGAGGTTAATGAGGATGAGTCAGGAGGGTAGGAGCAGATAGGAATATACGATACAGTAGACATAAGATGCGTATAAGAATGGGGATATGGAGGGCGACTCAGCAGCTGTACATTATGATAAGTGAGGTTTATACCAATCTACGTAATTACACTTGAGACCATAAGAATTATTATCCTATTGTCTTGCCTCCCGTAAGTCTTAGTGATGCCATAATGTAATTCCTCGGTCACTATGTGATGCTTGCCCGTTACAAAGACTACGCAATCCTTTTGTGAGGGAGTAGGATGAGTATATAATGAGGGAGGGGAATTGGAGGTAAAAAGTCGTAATCGTGAATTGGAGTGATAGTGGGTAGAGGGAGGGGAGGAGTATATAGTTGAGGGTAGTGAGGTGAGTGTAGGATAAGATTAGAGGTGAGGGCGAGTAAAGAGAGAATGTGTGTAGGTTTATATGATTAATAGATAGAAGAGAGAGGAAGGTAAAGGGAGATAATAAGGGGAGTATATAGGAGGGAGGGAGGGTAAAATATACTATATATAGGAGGTGGATATGACACGGAGGGTCGAAAAGAGGAATGAGAGATATATAGTATAGATATAGATATATAGAATATATATATAGTGGAGTATATAGGTGAAGTTTATATATTCCATATAGTTTATATAGTAGGTGAAGGACACATAGTGGACGATATGCGCGAGTGATGCATACGGTACATACGACATTGCATGGGCATAAATGCACGGATTCCAGGCTTCCACGCACCACTGGCACTGCGTTTCCACACTTCAACATGGCTCGCTCACTGGTTGATTCGAGAAAGTAGTCTGGCGGGATTGTTGAGTGGGTATCAGGTCAATCCGGGCTAACCAGCAGTTTGGCAGGGAGGTCGAGGTCAGTTCCCATTCGGGAGTTACAGCATCAGTCCGCTCTGGGGAATTCGGGAGCCTTCCCAGCACCCAGTTGTTCCCAATCCAGTTTCCACAGTTATACGACTCCAAATCCCCATCCAGCCTTCAACAAGACAATACGAGTTATTCCCATTCCAGCCTGCCATAGCATCGGTAAGTTCCTCATCCGCTCCACAGCAATCCGGTAGATTGGCCCCATTCCAGCCTCGCACAACACCGTAATTCCCATTCCATGCCTCCACGAGCCATTGTAATGTCCCAATCCAGCCCCAGCAGGCGGGGCATCGCAATTCCATGTCCAGTCCTCCACAGCATCGTAAATTCCCATGCAGCCTCCACAGCACGCGTAATTCCCATTCGCAGCCTCCACAGCATTGGTATTCCCATTCCAGGCCTCCACAGCATCGCAAATTCCCATTCCCAAGCCTCCACAGCACAGTCGTAATGGGTCCCGATTCCAGCCTCCACAGCACCGATAATTCCCATTCCAGCCTCCGCAAGGCACCGTAAATCCCATTCCAGCCTCTCACACACCGGTAATTCGCCCATTCCGCGCGAGCCTCCACAGCCATCGTAATTCCATTCCAGCCTCCACAGCACCGTAATTCCATTTCCAGCCTCCAACAGCACGTAATTCCCATTCCAGCCTCCACAGCACCGTAATTCCCATTCCAGCCTCCACAGCATCCTTCCGCATTCCAGCCCTCCCACAGCACCGTAATTCCCATTCCAGCCTCCACAGCACTAATTCCCATTCAGCCTCCACAGCATTGTAATTCCCATTCCAGCCTCCACAGCATGCGTCCAATCCCAGCCTCCACAGCACCAATCCCACAGCCTCTAATTCCCATTCCAGCCTCCACAGCATTGTAATTCCCATTCCAGCCTCCACAGCATCGCAATTCCCATTCCAGTCTCCACAGCATCGTAATTCCCATTCCAGCCTCCACAGCACCGTAATTCCCATTCCAGCCTCCACAGCACCGTAATTCCCATTCCAGCCTCCACAGCACCGTAATTCCCATTCCAGCACAGCATTGTAATTCCCATTCCACAGCCTCCCACAGCATCGCAATTCCCATTCCAGTCTCCACAGCATCGTAATTCCCATTCCAGCCTCCACAGCATCGTAATTCCCATTCCAGCCTCCACAGCACCGTAATTCCTATTCCAGCCTCCACAGCAATTAATTCCCATGTCCAGCCTCCCACAGCATCGCAATTCCATTCCAGTCCTCCACAGCATTGTAATTCCCATTCCAGCCTCCACAGCATCGTAATTCCCATTCCAGCCTCCACAGCACCGTAATTCCCATTCCAGCCTCCACAGCATTGTAATTCCCATTCCAGCCTCCACAGCATCGCAATTCCCATTCCAGTCTCCACAGCATTGTAATTCCCATTCCAGCCTCCACAGCATCGCAATTCCCATTCCAGCCTCCGCAGCATCAATCACTCCAATTCCACCACCGTTCCTAAATCCAGCCAATGCCAGAGTACACGCGGTACTATAGAGAAAATATCGGCACAAATTCACACAGCTGTTTCATATTATATTGCATATTTTTGCCCTATGACATCCGTTTACAATGTATATGAGAACGCAGGACCAAATATCGTGTTTTCATCATGGGATGACAGGAATCTTTCAAAAAAATATATTTAGTATTCAGATCTCTTTTTCTTTTTTCTTTTAAATGCATATATACATATTAAAATGTGAAAACAAGCATTCATGAATAAATGTATTCGACTGTGCATGTTTGGATCTGCTTTTTGCGCCTTTTCTAATGTGCGTATATACATGTTAGTGGGTGGATGGATGGATGAATAAATGGATGGATGGATGGATAAATAAATGGATGGATGGATGGATGGATGGATGGATGGATAAATAAATGGATGGATGGATGGATGGATGAATGTATGAATAAATGAATGGATGGATGGATAAATAAATGGATGGATGAATAAATAGATGGATGGGTGGATGGATAGATAGATAAACAGACAGACAGATAGATAGAAAGATAGATAGATAAATAGATAGATAGATGGATGGATGGACAGATGGATAGAGAAATTGATAGATAGGCAGGCAGCCAGATAGATAGACAGACAGACAGGTAGATAGATGGATAGATATAGATTAGAACTGACAGACAGACAGATAGATGCATGGATGAACGGACGGACGGTGGATCAGTAGATGGATACACAAACACACTCACCAGCACGCATCCCGGTCACCCTTCACGCACGCGCACATCCGATCTCGTTTTTCCTATTCTATTTTTTATTTTTTACTTTTTATTCTTTATTTACTTTTTTTTTTTTTTTGAGAGGGACCGCCGCGTCTTCCCCGGGGTTGTCCCACCGCCTCCCCCGCCCTTCTTGCCCCGAGAAGTAGTTTCGTCAGAGACACGGCCGGGGCGACGAGGACAAAGGAGCGAGTGCGTATAAAAGGGGAACGCAGGGCACAGAAGACGATCACAGGACGCTCATCTCCTCCTGCCTCCGTCGCCGCCTTCGTCAGCTGAGTCCTCGCCATGGTTTCCAAGGTAAAAGGGTGGTCTTTCGCTATCTGGTTGCGATGCTGCTTCAATATATTTTTTTTATCCTATTATCATCAATATCATTACCGTTATCTTTATTATTATCATTATCATTAATGTTATGGTCATCGCCATCGTTATTGCAAATATTACTAGTATTATCACTATTATTATTATCATCATTATTACTATCGGTATCATTATTATCATCATTATTGCTAACATTATTACCAATAGCATTTCCATCCTCATTACTATTACTATTATCACTATCATTATCAATATCATTTTCTTTTTGCTCTGTATTTTTTTTGTTATAATCATGATTATATTATTATTGTCATTCTAATAACACAATTACTTTTATTATCATCACCGTTTCCTATATTTGCAAAAGTTCGTGTTTCCATAATTTATCACGCATTGTTGAAAGGCTATAAAAATGCACATGTAAGCTCCAGAATATTTGAACAGTAG